ATTTGTGAGGGTTAGTTAAAATTTTGTTGGTTAGTTCTTGAAAATTAGTTTGGACCGAGTTAGAGCCCCTGCGGGCTGATCCAAACACAGCAGTTGAGATTGGGCCTAACTACCTTCAGATTGTTTCGAGGATGATAGACGAAATCAAGCTAAAATCTCTGTGGTTTAACCAGCGGACAATAGCTGAAGTGGCGCCTATGTGGATTCATTCAAAGACCAATTAAAATATTTGCGGGAAATTGGAGAATAATCCCCCTTAGCAGTGATCCTTGTCGGCATTATTATCTGAGTGCTTAATGAAGCAGGCTAATTTAACGAATATGAGAACATTAGAGTCTTTGATGTACAAGCGATAAAAGCTTCATTTGCATAATGTGTCACTGAGCATGTACTTTATTTTCCGTTGGCAGCAAAAAAATAACTTTGTTTTTCATGCACTAAGAAAAGTGGCGTGATGGAAATTTCCTAGTTGGCAGATTATTCCGTCATCATGATCCAGAACTGGCGATTCATTCGAGTTCAAATGATGATGCTCAACATACACTAGTGAAATCCTGAGACGGTTAAAACTTTGCCAAGTGCTTCTGTCAAAAGAAAATCGGCCTGAAAAACCGCGGGAGATGATATGAACACCAGGAGTCACCAGCAACCTTTTTGTTGACCACAAGGCACCATTGGTCAAGATAAATGGAAAAGTTGCCAGATGTATATCTGGAAAACTGTATTATGAGTTGTACCTATTCGAAGTGTAAAAGAAGTACCAGGATGCGCTCGGGCTTCTTTATTACCTCATCAAATGCACAATAAAAACAAAGCGGGTGAAATCATCGCCATCATCATACACTCACTAGGTCATGATGTCATAAATGAAGAACACAGTAATACCGATGACAAGTGAACCAGTTAATATTGAAACGGATTGAAAATAGGAAGTTAAATTTGCATTATGATATCCTAAAAAGCAATTCATATCCTGAGAAATAAAATTCTGAACACAACAATTTGCATAAATTATGCATTACTTGCCTTTTTTCTGTCATAAATGAGATGCATTTAAAGAAGGGAGCAAATGAGTTCAAATAGTTAATCAGATTGGTTCAGGCAAAAATAACCTAAAAAATTTGACATCGGCAACTTTTATGCTCGAAGCTATTTTGTCCAGAAGTTCAAGCACAAACATTTGTGGACTTTCAAGCGTTTCATAGCTTTCGATAGTATTATGTAGCGTTTTAAAGCACCACGATTGCTGTAGATACCACAAATACCAAAAAGACCCTCAGTAAAGTCTATATAGGATACCCATGTTAGTGATATTATTTGGGGCGCATAATTACATTAGGTGACAGATTTCGTTCGACAGTTGCATACCTTCAGTCTTGTTTAATGAATATGTGTCATCTTTTAGTTTATTTTAAAAAAAAAAAGAAAATATTTTGTTTTCTGAAAACTAATGGCCAACCTTCTCCTACAATACAGCTTCATTACCAAGAGTACATGCGAGCTCCCTCGGTTGCTGTCTATTGAGAAGTCTTGTTAGTCCGTTAGTGATAATCTTCGTGAACACAACTTCATGTATTTTCCGAAACTTTAAAAAGAAACTTTTTTAACAAATGAATGACTACATATACTACAGAATATAAACTAATATCTCAGTGAGAATACAGCGTAAATATATCATTGAAGGTTATTTTGCATTTTTGCGCCGCGTAATCTTAATTTGTTCGAATTGGTGGCTCTCGTTTCCATGTTTTATATTTTCGTGATGTGTTGGAGAATTTCAGTATGGTACACAACGAACTGTTGCCCCGTAAACGCGCCGGCACAAATACAGATCACCTGAAATACGCAGAATAGTACCAAGCGCGGTGCCGTGCCTAACAGTGTAACAGTAATAAAAATGATAATAATAATGATAACGATAACAATAACAATAATAATGTTAACAAAAATTGTTACCTCTCAGCCAAAAAGATATGCATAAAAAATTTAGCGTGACATGTCATTTGTGACGAGCGTAAATATATTGAATAACAATTGTAATTTTTCTGATAAAATTTTAAGAATTTTATGTTATATTGCAATAAAAAGCGAACCCTCTGGCGTCGCCACCTCCTCGATGTTGCCAAATCCGGTTAGATCCTCGATCGGTGCTTGAAAGGTACGTTTTCCGTAGCGCGATAGCAACGGCGCCCTGCCGTCTCGTGCCAGCAATGCGTTCCGCTTAGCCGATTCCATATTTCCGTGGATTCCAATATGGGTTGTTACGAACACACCGATTGCTAGCAGCATCCACGTGTGCATTATATTAGCACGGGAGGAGCAGCAGCAGCAGCAGTACTCACTGCAATTGAGGCTCAAGGAAAAGTAGTTCAAAAAATGCGATATTTTTCGTGCGAATCAGTTTCAGTGCAGCACTTGAGCTCCACTGAAAAGCTAGGAAGCTAAAATTTTAGGAAAATATCACAAAAAAGAGACTGGGGAAATAAATAACAGCAATATTTCTATTTAAAACGAACTTGCAAGATATAGCAATGCGCATTTTAAAGCATTAAATCAAGACCGATGAGAAATCAAGCAATTTAAAACATGCCTTTTAAAGGTTTGCAGCTTTTTCTGGCAAAACATAAGCGAGCTTTTTTTAGCTACAGAAAAGTGGATGGGAAGAAGCAAGTTATTAGTGGATATTAAATGAGGTGCGATCTGCCCAGGCCTATTACTGATGATGCCTGGAAATGATGCTTCCAATACGACTCTCTCTGCTCATGGCATATCTCCAGAGTCCATCGTTATGAAGCTCGAATCATTCATAACACTTCTGTTTATAAAAGTAAATAGTTAATTGCACTTCCTAATACGTCACTGTTAATGATTAAATTTGAAAAGATTCTGGAAAGTACGAATTCATTCGGCGTCCAGGATCTTTTACGCGAGCTAGGATCTTCTAGTTTATTTGCAAGTTAGGGTCATCTAGCCCTCACAGTAGTCCAGAATGACAATAATCGAGATGATATGGTAGTGCTTCCAAACACAAACACACAAACACATACACACACACGCACACACACACACGCACCAGTGACATCTCAGAACAGCTAAAGCCTTTGCCAAATGCTTCTGTTAAGAAAGCCGTTGAACTGGATAAAATAAAGCCAAGAGAAACAAATGTCCAGGTCGCCAGCAAACTGAAAATCAAACGATATAGCATTGGTCAAAGCAATCGCAAAGTTATTGGTTGCATAGCTGGATAAAGAGGCTGCGCATTGGTACTGATCAAAGTTTAATAAGCCCTTCGGAAGCTAAAATATTGACACTCAAGATCCGATAATTACCGTAATTCCTATCTGGCTTATTATTAAATTTGAACTGAAAATGCACTTCTAGAAACGAATGGTATTAAAACTGAGACACAAAGTGGGGAACTTGCGTGACACCGATATACAGACTGTGAACATTTTTAGGTATTAATAATGTAAAAAGTTATGACCTATTTCTGTCGATATTCAAAAGTTTTTCCTTGCAAACATAAGGTGCTAAATTGTGCAGAAACACAAAAATTAAAACAAAAGGCGCTAAATTAAAAACACAAAGTATAAAAATCATGCAAAAATTTTCTTGATTCATGCTAGTCTTTAAGCAGCTACTTTGGTGCTGTGATAACTCGCTAAATTATTAATTTTTTAAAAAATACTATAGAATTCAGTCTTTAAAATGTCCAATACACTATGCTATTAGCTGATGCTTACTCGTAAAATAGGCTTGATGATAGGCATTTTAGCGTTTGATATCAAACACACACTCTCATGTCGTAGCCCGCCAGTTAAACTACGTGCAACATTTCCAGTTGCTCTGACCAATGCTGCAAGGAACTTCTTTAATGCGTGAATAGTTAAGGTGTGGGATGATTTGCCTTCGGGACTTGTTCGTGCTCACTTCGTTTGAAAGTTTGCTAGCATCATTAACAGCACTGCTTTGGGTGACCGCTCCATTGCAGACATTGCACTTTAAGGTGCTAAATTTCCGTTAAGCTGATCTTAAACACTGTGAATCTTTGCTGTGCTTTCGTGTCTTTTGTGTTTCGCTTCTTATGCACTATGTGTTTGATATCAAACGTTAAAATGCTTATTATCAAGCCTATTTTACGAATATTAGCTAATAGCATAGTGAATTGGACGTTTTAAGGAGTGAATTCTGGTGCATAAGAAGCGAAACACATGTATGTATGTTAGTATGTGTCCTGCTTGGCGATTAAATACAAAGGCTGGAACGCACCAGGCGAGCCGGTGCGATCATGCGTTTTTGCATCAAAACTAAAG